TGGTCCTGGGTCTCTGGGACCTGGTGTTGCTGTTGTGAGTCACCGAGAGTGGCTAGATTTCCGTTGGATTTTCTAGTATTTCTGGAGAGCCATTCCCTGACTCCATTTCCCCTTCCAAGCCCACCTGACAGCATCATGAGATCTTGATCCCAGGGGTCTACCTTGACCTCGTTGAAGTCTGTGAGTTCCTGCCCTAAGCCCGACTCCGGCTGTGGAGAGTCGTCACAATACAATGTCGTCATGTATCGTGCCCCACTGCCTCCCTCTCTCTGGAAAAGTGGTGCCCACTAGCTCTTGGCAGAGCAGCGGTTCTGTGGAATGCAGGGGCAGTGGTGGGAGGGTAGGAGAAGGGCATTGAACAGATTTTCTGAATGGAGCATTTCACATTTCTGTGGAATGAAGAGGCATGAGAAATCCAGGAGAGGAACTTGCAGTGGAGAGAAAAGGCTCTTGGCCAGCAGGTTCCAGCCAGCGATGATGAGAAGAGACCACTATTGCTTCTGGAATGTGTAGCTGGGGTTGGACCATGGTCCAGCAGGCCAGCACACCCCTCGTTTCTTCTCAAGAAGTTCCGATGACTTGAGAGGGTCCTGGGAGCCGTGGCTTGCCACTTTTTTCTCTCACCTGGACTCAGGGACCTAGAGGCAGTCTTTTTTTGTATTGGCCTGAGGCCTGGTAGTGTCTGCTGCAAAGCGGTCATCTTCAAAATTGATGTTGTTTTAACCTATGAGACTCTTGCTTTAATAGCCTTGGTAGGCAGAAGCTTTGTATAATAAAGCAGAGTTTCTCAGTCCTGGTGCTGTGGGCATTTGGGGCTGACGATTCTTAGTGGTGGGGGCTGCCCAGTGCATTGTGGGATGTTCAGCAGCATCTCGAATGTCTACCCACTGTAAGCCATTGTTCCTCTCTTTCTCCAGCTGTGGCAACCAAAAATGTGTCCAGATACCATCAAGTGTCTGCTGGGGGGGCAAAATTACCTCCCTTTGAGCACCGCTGTATGAGGAGGCTAAAGCGGAGGTCATTTGTTTAAAGTAGGAGTGCTCAGCTGATGTGCTGCCCCTTTGCCCTCTCTCCTCCTTCCACTCTCTGTTTCTGATCGAAGCAGGGACGCCCAGAATGAGAGCAGGGCTGCAGGTTCCTGTGGGGGCGACCACCACCGTGCACTTTGCAGAATTGCATAGTCCCTTGGGCATTGCTCCAAATTCCTTTCCTCCACAGCGGGAGTGGGTTTGTAAGGTGTCCGGGCAGGGATGAGCTGGTCCAGCCTGTGGTCCTGGAATGGGGCAACCAGTCACTGGCCCGCACAGGGTTGAGGTGCCTGGGCTTCCTCTAGAAATGAATAGGTATTGCTTTTTTTTTTTTTTTTTTTTTGAGACAGAGTCTCACTATGTCACCCAGGCTGGAGTGCAGTGGCATGATCTGAGCTCACTGCAGCCTCTGCCTCCTGGGTTCCGGTGATACTCCTGCCTCAGCCTCCCGAGTAACTAGGAATACAAGCACATGCCACCACGCCTGGCTAATTCGTATATTTTCAGTAGAGATGGGGTTTCCCCATATTGGCCAGGCTGGTTTCGAACTCCTGACCTCAAATGATCCGCCCACCTCGGCCTTCCTAAGTGCTGGGATTGCAGGTGGTGTTGATTGATTTTCAAATGACAACACAATGCTCAATGAAAACAACCTGGACAGCCCAGAAAAATCACTAAAAAGGAGAAGCCATGTATAATTGTGCTGGGTTGAGGTGCTCACTTGGCATTCACAACAGCAAACCGAACCTGCTCTTTTATTTTTTTTATCTATTTTTTAGAGTCTACCTTTTTCAGTGAAAATGGTGGTCTCCCTAATGGCACACACACACCAGCCAGCAGAGTCACAACCCTGACCCTCCTGGTTGGGTACCAAGTAGTGAGTTATAGGCAAACTTGGCAGCCACCCAGCTGATGCCATCCAGAAATGCCAGGGCCTCACCTTCACCCTCCTGCTCTTCCTCAGAAGTTGCTCTGACATGGTGTCTATGCATTCCTTGAACCTGTGTATAAACTGCTGAAACAGTTTTTCCTGGAGGTCATGAATGACAGGCTTCTTACCCCTCCACATTCTGCCACATGGGGTTTTTATCAATGATTGCTGAGAAATGACAACTTCCAGCAGAAGCCCGATGCCATTTTTAGCTTGAAAACTGAGAACAAGACTGCTCAGTTTCTGTAAGGCATGGGAGGAAAGTACTCAGCACAGCCAGCTCTGCCGGAGGACTTACATGTGCTCCACACTGCAAAGGGGTTTTCCTTTTTTACCACGGTCTTTTGATCTTCACATCATGCTTAGGAGGCACTTATTTATTGTCCCATTTAATAGATGAGAAAACTGAGACACAGACGGAAGAAGGAACCTGGACAGGGTCATGTAGACAGGAGTACTGATGGGGCCAGGATATGCATCCTGCCCGTCAGCCTCTAGGGCAGGAGTCGGCAGCTGTTTTCCATAAAGGGCCAGAGAGTAAATATTTCAGGCTGTGCAGGCCATATGGCCTCTGTAGCAACGATTCAGCTCGGTCACTGTAGCTTGCCGTTAGCTATAGGTAACAGAAAATGAACGGGTATGAACATGGAAATTTGAATTTCGTGTAGTTTTCATGTGCTACAAAATATAATTCCTCTTTTGATTTTTAAAAATGTAAATGCTATTTTTAACTCTGGGGCTGCAGGAAAGCAGGCAGCGGGGTGTAGCTTGGTGACGACTGGTGTAGAACCCTGACTCCCACCCACACTGCTGCACTGTGGCTATAAAAATGCTATTCCCTGATTTAGGAAAACTCAGAGCTACCCAACGGAGGAGGTGGGGGGACCATTATTCTACTTACCAGAGGACTCTTTGGATCAGGGAGTTCATTCATTTCTCTGCCGTATCTCAGTGCCCGCGTAAGTCAGGGAGGGGTCAATTGTGGGCATAAGCCACGACAGTTCAGAAGGGTAAGGCTTTAGAACATGGTGATGACTGACAACCGTAACAACACATTTATGGGATTCTAACGTGGGCTGAGAAAAATGATTTCATTGATTTAAACAATTTGATCAAAGTCGCTTGTTGGGAGAAGATCCTTGGAGGAAGCTGGGCTCCCACGAATGGGGAGTATTCTGTACAATCATGGTGATCTACTTGGTAATTTACAAAGCCCCGGGAATACACTGGGCGACCTGGTGACACAGATAGTTCTACTCCTCTGGCGCGTTCTTTTCATCTGAAATGTTGCCAGGTTTCCTGCCATGGTGGGACCAGACCACCCAAAGTGCCCTGGGGCTATAAGGCTTCCAGGGAGAAGACTTTGGTGTTGGAATCCAACACCAACCTGGCCACCTGGTCCATGTCCCTGGCAGGTGCCAGTGTCTCTGGCTGCTCAGCAGGGACTTTGAGAGAACGTGGTACAAAACAGGTTCTCAGCATACCTTGTCACCGTGTGGCTCTGAAATGCTTCCAGAGGCCCTGGCAGCCATAGTCCTGCTGCCTTGCTGGCTCTGACTCGACTTAGTGGCAGATGGCAGAGCTGCGGGTGTGGTGGTGCTGGGGAGGAGACGTCTGGGGAAGGTGGCTGTCACTTTCCTGGCCAGAGTGTGCCTGAGCTAGTTCTGTCCCAGGATGAGCTGTCACCTCTCTGCACTCTTCACTAAGGTGGTACTCAGACTTCATGGCCACTGATGAGAGTAAAATCCTAGGAGGATGGGGTGAGCAGTGGAAGGCCTTTTCCCGAGATCCTTTGGTGCTCCTTGGGATCACAGGTGTGTATGAATGAGCATCTTTCATACACCTTTAGAGCTGCAAGGGCCTTGATAATAGCCTAATGGTGCTCAACCTGGGAACCCCAAAAGCAGTAATGGAGGATGTTTGTTTCTGGCATTTGGTCAATATAAAAATGATAAATCCAGAAATCACATCCATATCCATGACAAACCTTCTCATGTCGACAGAATGTTGAGTTTCTTTGCTTTGAGCTGGAATTTATGCACTGAATGAGTTAGCATGGGTTTGTGTCCGTTGATAAGAAGCTCTGTTAACAGTGATTTATATCTCTGATTAATAAATCCAAGAAGATGAATTAATTAGTGCTTAATAGATGTCATGTGCTTGCTAGACATAAACCTCCTTAAATGTGGGATCTCTTGGGGCGAAATTCTAAAAGGAGATCTTTGCGATGGAAAGGGGAGAAACTGCTAATTCAGTATAACTCTCCTCTTTTACAAATGAAGACGTGGGAGGCCCAGAGAGGTGGAAGCACTGGCTCAGAGTCATTGGGTCCTGAAGTCTTGAATGAAGCTAGAGTTTGTGTCCTCCACCGCCAGGCTCCCGTTCTTTCCTTGACACCCTAGTGCCTCCAGGATCCTTAGGTGGCCCCCATTCTCTGGAGTCAGCTCCATCAAATCAAGCCATTGGTTTTCTTGAGTGCCAGGAGGGATTGAGCTGTGGTCACCCAAAGGGGTCTTCCAGGGTCTAGACCCTGGTGATGCTGGAAGTAGGTGTGTCCCTCCTTGGCTATGCCCACTGGCCAGCCACCCCTCCTTTTATAAAGCCATGTCATTTGTCTTTATGGGCAAGAACTAAGGAAAACAAGGGCCAGTCCTTAGGAAATTCTGAATAGGAAGAAGAAAGAAAGGGAACAGAGGAAAACTGGGTTAGGAAGGCAAGCAGGGAGATTGAACTTCACGTCTTTAAATAGTATCTTTTTTGAACTGACTGGGAGACATTCAATGCAATCCATGGGCCAGGCACTTGGAACCCATGAATTCAGTTAATTCTCGCACCAACCCCATCAGGCAGACAGTGTGAACCTCAGCATGCAGAAGAAGAAACTGAGGCTCAGAGATAGTCAGTGAGTTGGCAAAAAGCCTGGCTCTCAATTTGGCTCTCAATTAGCACATCTGGGATTCAAGCCCAGGTCTCTGTGGCTCCAAAGCCAGCCCCATTTCTGTTGCCTCTGGCTGACCCTTACCTTTCCTCCTCCCCTGCAGACACATAGAGAACTGGCGCAGTCTCCACACGCTCAACGCGGTAGACATGGAGCTCTATACCGGACTCCAAAAGCTGTGAGTACACCCGGCCACAGAGAGGCCTTTCCCTGTGGAAGGGGTGGGTGTCACCTGGTCTGCCTTCTGGGGTGGAGTGAGGGGCACAGCGAGGCTGCCATCGGCGATTTCCCTCCATGAGTCCTCCTTTGGTACAGTCGGCAACACACTTAGGAGACACCAGAGGCTTCAAAGGCCATCTGCTCACACCCCCTCATTTTTTCCTAGTCTAGTGAGGCAAGGGGTTGTGTGAAGTCCCATGTCAAAGGCAGGGTTTCCAGGCAGGCCTGGGACCCAGGCACGGTGGGCAAGTGCCCTTTCCCCAACCTTATGCTTGACTGATGAACCCCCTGGAGTATGAGATTTCCCAGCTACCTCCTCCCTTGGATGTCAGTGTTAGAGACTGTGGGGACCTGGAGTGGGGAGAGGGACAGGAACAAACAGAGCTGCAGCCCTGCCATTGCTGGACCAGCAGAGGCCCTGGTCCTTACCCACCGGCCAGGATGGGTGGAGGGCAGCCGCCAGTTCCCCTGACATTCCAGCCTCACACAGGGCCCTGGGGCGTGTGAGCCCAGATGCTTTCACTGAGCATCCCCAGCAGGTCACCAGTGATGAGTAGCAATGAAGAGGGCGGATGACCCACAGGGCGGCAGCAGGGCCAGCCTTGGCCTCACCCTCCCCAGCCTCAGCCCAGAAAAGACATCCCTCTGCCACTTGAGCTCTGCTGAATCTCTTTTTTGCTCTGTCTAGGACCATCAAGAACTCAGGACTTCGGAGCATTCAGCCCAGAGCCTTTGCCAAGAACCCCCACTTGCGTTACATGTGAGTAGAGCTGGGCTTCTGGGATGGGGGGCACATGGCAGGGACTCTGAGGGCAGTGAAGCCGCACACCTGAGGCCTAGGTCTGGCTTTGCCTCCGGGGGCTCTTGGGCAACTTTTTGAACTTTCTTGGGCCTCCACTTTTGCCTCTTAAAAGGATTGTTTTGGATTTGATGATCTCTAAGATTTGTGTCAAAAGGGCTTAGAGGGAGAGTCAGTCTCCTGACACCCAAGTTTGTTCACTTTCATGATAAAACTCGGGAATCTAAATGATAGGGAATTCTACCCATATGTAATGTGAATGCTACCCTTCTAAGACCATAAGCAGGCCCATAAGAGTGCGTAAATGTGTGTTAGGATTGGGGGTTGGAAGAAGAAAGGAAGCATGGCCAATAGCCAGTGTTATGCCTAAATAGATTCTGGGTTCAATGGGAAAAAGTTCAGAGAAGTAGAGACACCTGTCTAAGGTCACACAGCTTTGTTTGGGACAAGCTGGAGGTCAGATGGTTATGGGTGGGGGGTCCTGTCTGTGCCTCCTTCACCCTGTCTCTCCCCTTTCTTTAGTGGGGATAGAATCACAAGAGTTGATGCTTCCTCTCTCTGCCCAGTTCTGGGCTGATAGACTTCGGTATTCAATTGAGGATTGCCATTTCCTGGGGAGAAGGTGGGCATGAAGGGAAGCCTGGGGTGAGTGATTAGGGGAAGTGCCAACCCACTGCACCCATAGAGAGGTATTCGTTGTCTGGGTCAACTCCGAGAAGAGTGGCCATCTTGGACATCCACTGGGCATGTTTCCTAAGAGCAGAGGCTCCACAGGAACCAGGTGGGGAGGGGTCTGTGGCCTTTTGGGAGGAGGTGGAGAAATGGTGTGCCTGGGCCTAGTCTTTCCTGTGGCCACTTAAAAGTTTCACTGACTGAGCACTTTGCATTTGGTAAGGAAGGGCAGCTGGGCTGGAGATAAATCGCACGTGCAGGGGCAGAGCATGCAGGAGAGCCGTGGGAAGCGGAGGTAGGGGAGGAGGGGAAGGAGATGACAGTGAATCCTGGTGGAGGAGTTGTTTTTGCTCTTCCGGGGGGGCCTGACCTCGCCCCTGGGCTCTGTGTGTTTTCCCAAGCGCATACTGCGTGCTTGATAAATATTTGTTTATCAGTATGGCCACCTCTGCTTTGTGAGAGCTTTCTTTTCTCCCGCTGGAAATAGCAGGTTCTGTGGTCACTGCTCAGGGCCAGATGTATCAGCTCCAGGGACTGAGACCTCCCTTTCAACTGTCTAATTTGCCTGTTGCCCCTTGCTTCCAGGGTAGCCTCTGTGGTGAGAGTCTCCTGATGTGTGTTCTTTGCAGCTGGAGGCATAGCTGGGACCAGAGGAGGGCCTGGGACCAGATGTTCCAGGTGTTTATTTTATTGGGGGTTTGAGTTTCACTGTAAAACACCCCAAACACTTTGGACATCTGAGAAGTCTTCCTTTTCGTACCAATTCATACAAAGGTCACAAAGTCAAATGCCCATGGTGGACCAGGTGGGGCCACGTGTCCCCTCCAAAGATGCAACCAGTCATCAGTTCCAGCTGACTGCTGCCACGTGGAGATGGGGACTGGTCAGACTTGTTTCCAGAAGACTTGGAGGTTCCATAAAACCACTCAAGTTTCAAATGCTGCCAACTAAAAACAAGACCCTTCAACTCCATGGCCAAACGAAACTACTTCCATGAGCAGAATGTGCCACAGAGTGCCAGCTTGTGGTGCGAGGTCAGGTTTGGGGGAGGACACGGTCGATGTGGGAGAAACCCTGTTCTCTCTGAGGACAGGGGCTGGGTGCTCAGGCCCCAGAGCCTTCTAGGGTACGGTGTCCCTGCAGCTTTTAGGGATATGGAGAGGCTTTGGGACCCAGCAGGTTTCTACAAGGCTCAGGAGGGGGAGTGGGGTTGCATCCTGGGCTGCAGGTGTCTCTGAAGTGGGTTGTACCAGAGCATGTCTTTGGCTTGCCCTTGAGGATCCTGGAAGAGGGCTGTGATCCAGTGTCTCTTTTGGGATGGTCTGGGGTCAGCTGAGTGGCGGCAGCAATAGAGGCTGGTGGAGGTTGGCAAGATTTCCGAGGCTTTGTGGGTAGGAGGACCCGTTTGGAGTAGGACCCAAGGATACTGTGAACCTGCCCGTGACCTTGGGCCCTGTTTTCTCCTGAACACATTGGCCAGCTCTTGCCAAAGTACTTGCTGTTGGCTACAGGGGATCACCAAGAAGGATGGATGACCATTAGTTCACCCCCGGCTTGAGTCTGGCTGTGCATTAGGGGCACGTCGGGGTGCTCAACCTAGTGCAGGAAAGTCAGCACCCAGTCGAGTGGCTCTGATAGGCACAGTGAGGTACCCAGAGGAGCCTGGGGCTCACGGACAAATGAGTCAGTAGAACGAGGCATCGACACTGGCTTCATCCACGGGTTTTATTTATTAACTTTTCTTATTTGTGAAGACACACATCAAATCCCAA